TTTCTGCCTTCAGAAATAGAATTTCGTTTCTGAGTAAATTTTCTTAAAAGAAACATAACTTCTTTCCTCCCAAAAGCACATCAAGCTCTTGATTACAAACATGGTTCTAAGTGGCTAATAACTGCATATTGCATATTTAAATTTCAAACTATGCTGCTAATCCCATCCTCCCATACTTCTACTCTATCTGTTCTCGTTTTGAAAAACCATATGCATTAATAAAAATACTACTTTCCTTGATGCAGGGGTTAAGGGGAAAACATAATTCAAACAGAAACCAATACTTGAATGTTCTGTACTACTATGAAAAAGAGAGTATTTCTGTTTCGTATTTTTTTTTACTATTGATAATAAGAAGTGTAAGATTTATACACCTATAGAAATATAAACATTCAAGCTGTCATTCTGACTTCAAAGTGTACTTAACCTTTGGTTTTTAAGCAATCTACCAACTCCTATGCAAGGAGACTTTCCTTAAAAGCCTCTGGATGTTCCAGTTGGACTCCTACAACGTTTGGATTACTCAATAGTGGCAGAGTCTCCACCAGTCAATTCCACTTGATTTCCACTTGATTTGAGGACTATGGTCTGTTCAGAAGTAGGAGCTGCTTGCAGTTATATTTCTTTAGCATTTTTTGTTGTTACAATAAAAAAAAAATTGATACAACTTCATGAGACATATGGGTGTGGGATTATACCTCTTTTACTCTATCTGCGTTAACAGAGGCTCGGAGTTAAAGATTTATCAGAGGTACATCATAGTTTTACCAACCTCCCGACCTTTATCCCATACCTTATTTGTCCCTTAATTAAAGGAATATTTAAAAGTTTAACCATAACACTAATTAACTAGGAAGATAGGATCATAAAACCTTTATAATGTTCGCCTTATCTGCATAACTATACTATTTATATATTATTCTTTATTAAATGGACACAAGCCTAGTACTACTGGAACATCACAGATTTCTGCCAGTTCTGTATTTTCTAAAGAATGACCTTAATTTGTAATGCATTTATTTTAATGCATATTTGTGTACCATCAAAAGTCATTGTAACACGGGCAAGCACACCACTCTTTAGGAAACTGCCTGAGTCATTTTCCTTTTATTGACCCAAATTTGTCCCTATATAGCTTCTTCAAAATGGTTCTGGTTTGGCTTTCTGCAATAACAAAAAATAAGCCTCCTTTGTTCATTATATATAACATCCTTCAAATAATTGAAAATATAAGTTTATGCTTTCTTTAATTTTAAATTATTCAAAGTAAACGGATCCAACTCCTTTTTCTATTAATAGGACATGATTTTTACTCTTTCAAAGTGATTTTTGTCACTGTTCATCATCACCCACTGCCACAGCTAACGTTTCCTTCCAGGAACTGTTCCAGATACATACTTTACATGAATGAATGCTTTCACTTCTCAAACAATCCCTTGGGGCAGGCAGCATGCTCTCTCTTAGACAGAAAGAATCTGAGTCACAGTGAAGTTAGGTAAGTTGCCCAAGGTCACATAGCTAGAAAGGGCAAATTTGAGCTTAAGCTCAGAGAATCTGGCTCCAGAGTCTGTGGTACCAACCACTATGAACTACTATTAAACTACCACACAAAATACTAATGTATTATTAAATATCAATTTTCAAAGTAAATAATATTAGCTATGCTTATTGGTTAAATAATACAACTTATTTAATCAATTGTCTTATAGTTAAATCTCTGACATACTAGAGTGTAATTATTTTAGAAGCAGCTCTATGCATGAGATCTACACTTTTTTTAAACAGTCAATAATATCCTAATATATAAAAACCCTGGGTCATAAGGATCAGTAACGACCGAGGCTCGACCTACCGGAAGTCAATCCTGCAGTCACAGCACTGATTGCTTCCGCTGCAGGTGCGGTGCCCCAGCACTGACTGCTGAGGGGGCTGCGCATCAGGGCCAGAGAGAGGCCTGAAGAGAGAAGCAGGGACTGATCCGTTGCCTCTGTGGCAGCTTTTGATCAGCACTTACCTCTCTCTTTCTCTCCCAGTCTGGCCAGCAGCAACTCCTCCATTTCTTTCCAGGCCTCCACCAGGGCTTCTGATCAGGCCCCATTGATAGGCCCAGAGATGCTGACTGGCATAGGAACTGACCAATCAGAACCAAATGTGGGTGCTGTGGGGAGCCAATGGCTGCCTAAGAGGCAGAGCTTTTGATGCTGACTGGCATAGAAACCGACCAATCAGAACCAAATCTGGGTGCTGTGGGGAGCTAATGGCTGCCTAGCAGGCGGAGCTATTGATGCTGGCATTGAAACTGACCAATCAGAACCAAATTGGCCAGCAGAGGAGGGCAGTTGGGGACAACCAGGCCAGCAGGGGAGGGCAGTTAGGAGCCATCAGGCAGGCAGGCAGAGGCAGTTAGGGACAACCAGGCCGGCAGGGGAGGGCAGTTAGGGGTGATCAGGCTGGCAGGCAGAGGCAGTTAGGGGCAATCAGGCAGGCAGGCAGGTGAGCAGTTAGGAGCCAGCGGTCCCAGATTGCAGTCGGACATCTCCCAAGGGGTCCCCAATTGGAGAGGATGCAGGCTGGGCTGAGGGAACCGCCCCCTCCGTGCACGAATTTTGTGCACCGGACCTCTAGTTTAATAATAATTTACCATAGGTAGAGGCTTGTTATTAACATCACTTAATTTCCACATTTCTCAGGGAGACAATTTGTTAAAAATATAGTTGAATTACAAGCTGTTACAAACTAGCTCAAAAAAATTCCCCTTATGTTTTAGTGCCCTTTGCCTACTTTTCTCGTCAATAAATCTTGATGTCTACAAAAATCTGTTTAAATTTTTAATATTCAAATACTTCTTTATCCTATAAATATACCCAATTTTCTGACTCTTGCTTCCCCCTCTTAACCAATGATCTCCAAATGAGCAAAATGAATGTTTTCTCTTTGAATAAAACTGTCTCTGCTGCCCTAAACACATTTTAATGTCCTAGCTTCATGATCTTTTATCTGCACCGTCTCTTACCAGAAAAAGTTCAGAATTTTCAGGATGCTTTACTGAGTATGTATTGTGACCATAAAGTGGCAGACTATGAAGACTGCTCACATGATTAAAAAACAGATTTGCCCACAAGATGCAACTCTTTCCTGAAACAAAATGTACTTGTTTCTACTATGTGATGAAACATTTTCAATCTAACATCTAGATTATTTAGAAAAATTTAAGCAACTGATAAAATAAATTCATTTAATTATGTTTAGTGTAACCAAAAGTTTAAGTTGTAAAAACAGTTCAGCAACTAAGCCCTTTGCTCACACATAACTGACATATTCTAAGGTGATTACAATATACTTCTAAATTTTCCTAGCTTATTACACATTTAACAATCTAAGAACATCTGTGAATGATCTAACAGATTATCTCAGATGGATTTTCCTTCAGATGGATTTTGACAGATTATGTGAAACATTTGTAAATTCAAAATTTTCAACTGAATTGCTTTGTTTCGAAGTTAATATAGAAATGTGAATGATCATTATTTATCACAAAGAATATTTTTTAAAGTGTTTAAAGAAGGATCAATATATAAATAATTTATTGTTACCTAAATCTATCATTATTTTATAATTCAAGCCACAAGAATAAGAAAAATTATTATCTATTTTCAGTTTTATAAACTCAATTTCAATAATATAAGTTATAGTCATAGATTTAAAGGTCAGAGACCAGCTACTCAAATAATGGTTTTTTTAATTCTGTGGTAGAAAAACAGTTGAATGAAGTCCTGGAATGTAAGTTCTAGTACCAGAAGGTCAAAGTCTATATAAACACTGTGATTCACTGGATTAATAAACTTGGCCTAGTGGACTGTTTTTGAGGTCCAGGGTGGACGCGGCTTCAGTGTAGAGTACACAGTCTGGCCCCGGAAATAGAACCTTGACAGTTCTACCTCTAACTGTCCTTACAAACCTTCACTGATAGATAACCCAGTGCTCAGACTAAGCTGACGTGTGGTGGGCAACTCAATACATAATGGTCAAACACAATGAACCGATCACCGTATCTAATCTTTAGTTACTCTCTCATTCGAAAATCCATTCCACCTTGACATTCTCCCAGGTAGCCTGGACTTTATTTCCACCTTTCTGTTACTAAAATAGTCTTCACTTAACATTGGTGCACATGGTCTAGCTTTACATTGGCCTTTTTTCAGCATTTGTCCTCCAACTTCATTGCCATCTTTTTTCAGCTAAGGTGTAGTTGAAATAGAAGTCAAGCCATTCTAATGATATAATTATGTATTTTAAAGTAAATACTATCTCTATTATTACTTCTTCCTACTTCCTGCTCATCACCCACCTTCTGATTTAAAAATACCTTTCTGAAGTATATTTTAATCCTTCATGCCTACTCCCACAGTCATGAATGTGTTAGTACTGTAACTCTCTGAATACAATGTCTGTCTAACAGAAAGAAAACAAAGTTTAATGAAAGTTTATTCTTTTCCTACCTTTGGTGAATTTCACATTGTAAACGTTCTAGTTAGAATAAATAAAGTTAGTGTGACCACCATGTTTACAAAATCACCAGTATATTCCTTAGTTGGACATTAACAGAAGTGCTATAGTAATAACAAATTCTATATATTTGCAGACATTATCTCATTTAATTCTCCTAATAAACCTTTAGATTTTATTCCCATGCTCACAGAAGTTACTTCATCAAGGTTACCCCATTGCCTGGAAAGCCAATATTCAAACTCAGGACTGTCTCCAAAGACTGTGATAACTGAATTAAGTCATACTATCATAAATATTCTTCAATGGCTGCTTTGCCAGCCAGAATATATTCAAACACCCAATTCTGCTTTCTGTACAGAAAGATTTGTAGCTTTATTTTTGTAACTATAATATGACTAACATATAGTATAGGAAAGGTTTAGAGAAAGGCATTCAATCATCTTTATTTATGTAAATCAATTGGAAAAATAAAATGGTTTCATACAACTTACCATTTAACATCAACAGATTGTCAGTTCCTGGATGTGGATAGCTCAATCGACCTTTAAAAAGACAGGAAAGTGTGAAGATTATTGAGCTATTTGCAAATTAAAAAAAGAAAGGGGCATAAGGGGAAAATTATTGAACACAGCATATTTCTTAAGGACTAAAAAGGTAATGTTTAACTCAAAGTACATTAACTAAAATGATCTTTGAAAGTTGAAAACAAAAACAGTTAACCATCTCAATGCCAGATATCAAGCTGTATTACAAAGCCACTGTTCTCAAAACTGCCTGGTACTGGCACAAGAACAGACATATAGATCAGTGGAATAGAATAGAGAGTCCAGAAATTAGCCCGAACCAATATGCTCAACTAATATTTAACAAAGGAGGCAAGAACATACAATGGAGCCAAGATAGTCTCTTCAATAAATGGTGTTGGGAAAATTGGACAGATATATGCAAGAAAATGAAACTAGACCACCAACTTACACCATACACAAGAATAAACTCAAAATGGATAAAGGACTTAAATGTACGACAGGAAACCATAAAAATTCTAGAAGAATCCAAAGGCAACAAAATCTCAGACATATGCCAAAGCAATTTCTTCACTGATACAGCTCCTAGGGCACTTGAAACTAAAGAGAAAATGAACAAATGGGACTACATCAAAATAAAAAGCTTCTGCACAGCAAAAGAAACCATCAACAAAACAACAAGAAAACCCACTGCGTGGGAAAACATATTTGCCAACGTCATATCTGATAAGGGCCTAATCTCCAAAATTTATAGGGAACTCATACAACTTAACAAAAAGAAGATAAACAATCCAATCAAAAAATGGGCAAAGGACCTAAATAGACACCTTTCAAAAGAGGACATTCAGAAAGCCAAGAGACATATGAAAACATGCTCAAAGTCACTAATCATCCGAGAGATGCAAATCAAAACAACAATGAGGTACCATCTCACACCTGTCAGAATGGCTATCATCAACAAATCAACAAACGACAAGTGCTGGAGAGGATGTGGAGAAAAAGGAACACTTGTGCACTGCTGGTGGGAATGCAGACTGGTGCAGCCACTATGGAAGACAGTATGGAGTTTCCTCAAAAAACTGGAAATGGAACTCCCATTTGACCCTGTGATCCCACTTCTAGGAATATATCCCAAGAAACCAGAAACACCAATCAGAAAGGATATGTGCACCCATATGTTCATAGCAGCACAATTCACCATAGCTAAGATCTGGAAACAGCCTAAGTGCCCATCAGTAGATGAATGGATTAGAAAACTGTGGTACATCTACACGATGGAATACTATGCTGCTGTAAAAAAGAAGGAACTCTTACCATTTGCAACAGCATGGATGGAACTGGAGAGCATTATGCTAAGTGAAATAAGCCAGTCAATGAAGGAAAAATACCACATGATCTCACTCATTCATGGATAATAAAGACCATTACAAACTTTTGAACAATAATAGATACAGAGGCAGAGCTGCCTCAAACTGATTGTCAAACTGCAGTGGGAAGGCCAGAGAGGGTTGGGGGGCAGAAGGGAGGGGAGTAAGAGATCAACCGAAGGACTTGTATGCATGCATATAAGCAAAACCAATGGACATAAGACACTGGGGGGTAGGGGAGGCCAGGGGATTGTCAAGGGCGGGGAAAAAAAGGACACATATGTAATACCCTTTGTAATACTTTTAGCAAAAAAATAAATAAATAAAAAAATAAAATAAACAAACAAACAAACAAACAAAAACAGTTAACCTACTTAGATCATAAGAGCACAATGAGATTTGGAAAAAAATCCCTATAGAATAAAGCCTATTTATTTTGAAATGTAAAAACAATGTAGATATCCTAGTCTTTCAAACTTAATAGAGGATGTGAGAATTTCTTAGTATTACATTGTAATTTTGTTTTGCTAAAAATAAAATTTGAAAAAAGTAATTTCTATTTTTAAATAAAAAACCTAAATATTAAAATAATAAACATTAAAAATTCATGATGATTTGCCATTTAATTCCGTATCATTTTATATAGTTGTATTTGAAGAAATTTAATGAAAATGTCTTAGAAGTATTATCACAGATACTGGAAATCTAACTTGTTTTAAGTTTACAGATGATATAAAAATAAAAATATAAAAAATGAAAATAGTAAGGCTTAAGAGAATAGCATAGTATTTCCTTTGAGTCATTCTTCAGTTAGGAGTTTTGCATTAGTAAATGCAGAAAGGACAAAAGTATATATTAAGAAAAAAAGGTATGCATGAACATACTGTAGTTTATCCAGCATTTTTACATTCTAGCTTGTTTGGTGAAATGCCAACAGTGAGGATAATCACTGTTTTTAGTTCATTAAAATATAGGGCTTTTCTCTTACACCTAAATCTCTGATAGACTATTTAAGAGATACATTAAAAACCATTTAGAAATCTGCTAAAAATTAAATGTCTGTGAGATTGCATTTTAGCAACTTTCAGCACAGTCCCTTTAAGAAGACATTATTGGGACCTGGAGAGCAATATGCTGAGCAAAATAAGCCAGTTAGAGAAAGACAGGCATTACATGATCTCACTCATATGTAGAATGTAAAGAACAAAATTAACTGATGAACCAAATAGATCCAGAGACATAGAAGCATGGAACAGACTGTTGAATCTGAGGAAAGGAGGGTGTGGGTGGGTGGAAAGAGATCAAAGAACTTGAATGCATATATGCCTAACCCATGGACACAGACAATAGGGTGGTGAAGGCCTGGGGCACAGGGCGGGGGCAGACTAGAAGGGGTCAATGGGGGGTGGGGGGGAAGAGGACATATGTAATTCAACAATAAATATTTTAAAAATAAATAAATAAATAAATAGGGTAAAAAGACATTATGATAACAAATAATGTATTGCCACCAGAAGGGTGACCAATAAATATCTGAATGGAGTTGGTGTGATTAGTGAGGAGTACAGATGAACTGCATTACCTTCACTACCTCTGCAACTACTCTACATTTCTGGGCCCTTTATTCTGTCCAAATATTCCATACAAGATAAATCTTAAACAAAGGTGTCACTCTAACAGCACAGAAATATGTTTATTGTTGTGATAGCTTAGTATGTACAGAAAGCAGAGCTTTCCTAAACAGGATTCCAATAGCATGGAACATTACTTTGAAGTATCATAGTTTATTTTGGAAATATGCCTATTTCTAAACATCTTGTTGCAGATGAGTAAATTTAGAGAACAATATAAGACCACAAAAAAATTACTGTTATTTCTGACTTGAGACTGAGCATCAAAACTATGAAAGTGGCAACCTGTGTTGCTGTTCTGTATAACAAGTTCATTAAGTCTTGCACACTGACAGTGTGTGGGAGGCTGAGAATACAAATATGCATAATATACAGTCTTCCCTTGGTGCTTATGATGTAGTAGTGAAGACAGACACAAATATACAATTTCAATAAAATCTGCCAAATGTGAAGAGTTATGTACAGTATGCTATATAAAAACCCCCACAAAGGTATTTAACCAAGTCCAGGGATTCAGGCAAAACTCCCTGGAAAAAGTAAACTGAACAAAGCCTTAAGCCTCGCTCCACTTAAAAAACCCCACTAACTTTCAACTGCCACATAACTACCCTCTAACAGATTCATTGTTCATTTTATTTATCCCAAGACACAGATAACAAGATAATTTTATTGCTAATAGTTTTTGACTTCTTGGCTCTAAAGGGACTTAAAAGGCACACATGTGGAAAGTTCAAAAGACAGCTACCTATTTACAAATGAATATATACTTGTGTATATGTTCTAAAATATAGATGTCAAAGCAGAAAAATCTCTCAACATAATAAAATACTCCAAAATGAAAGAAAGAAATTTAGACTATGTTGAAATTATACAATTACTTTTTCTCTACTTCAGTGAAACTACATCTTTACAAGTTAACTTTTACAGTTACATTTTACTTAGGATAGTTTAAAATTACTTTCACTAAGAACCTGCCAATTGATAACTTAACATTTAAGGGCTTGTGCCAGAAACTTTTCTAAGTTCTACACAACCAGTTATTTAGCCCTCACAACAATCTATGAGTTAGGTACTATGATCTTCCCATTGAAGATAAAGACTCTGTGCCACAAAAGACGAAATCACTTGCCCAAGTTACACCTGTCAGGTGGCTCTGGCAGGACTCCAACCCTGACAGTTTGGCTCCAAACTCTTAATCACTATCTTATAATGACATCCTAGGAGGTAAAGTAATTCAAAAGAAGGTGTATATGGCTAATTATAGGAAAAAATCAGCCATTAAAAAAAGTCACAGAATTTTCTATAGTATATTAGAAACATACTTCAATATAGGTAAAAATACATTGCTGTAAAACCAATTTCTTCTCCCTATTGTCCAAAAGCCCTGTGGTGCAGAGACTAGTAGTTGTATACTAACACCTGTTCCTGTGAATAGCAGGACCCCCAAATGCCTAGAGTAAAAATCTACATTTCTCAGCCTTCCTTGTAGTTACATGTGCCCATGTATGTAAGCTGGCCAATGAGATGTAAAGCAGAATTGGTATGAATAGTTTCAGGGAAGATATTCCCTTTCCTTTACCTTTTTCCTGCTTGCTGGAATGAAGATGAGATGGCTAAACTAAAACAGCCATGTTATATCATGAGGCAGAAGCTGGGTGTTACGGATAACAGAATCAGACAGAAGAAGCCTAGATCCATGAAAATCACCATAACACTTCTAGGGGTCCTATGTTTATGTAAGAGAAACAAACTTCTATTTTATTTAAGCCATTTATGAGTTTTATGTTGTCCCATGAGCTCAATCGAAAGCATAGTACCTAAACATGTGTTTACATGGGGCAAGAAAGTATATTCTCTAAGGAAATGGAAATATTACAGAACAAGTTTTTATCAGTTCATTCTAAATCTCGTAAGTATGGGGAGAAGAGGGAGGACAACAAGTCCTGCTCTTCATTCTTTGTCAAGATAAATTTTCCCCTTCTCTATAACTATTTTCTTTAATAAATATAGACAAAAAATG